CTGCCATTTACCAGCCCGGCGACCAAACCAGTCACTGAATGCCTCTGATTCTTCATGTGTAAAAGGAGCAAATTAAATTACAGTACCCACTCGGCAGGGTGTTAGGAAGATGAAATGAGGTAATCCGAGAAACGTGCTTAGCACAGTCCTAGGCGTTGGGCTAGGGCTCAGTAAGCACTGCTGAGAAGCCCCAACCCCTTCTGAGATGGGACTCCCTCCCTCCCCTTTGCTGTGTCGTCCGGTGGTCAGCGGTGAAAAAAGGAAAAAGGAAGGGACACCAACACACACACACACACACACACACACACACAATCACATGCTATTTACACAAGAAAAGTTCTGTAGAACTGTAAAGCAATTCTAACCATGTTTTTCTATGGGATGGGATTACGGGGGGATTTTAATTTTTACATTATATAGCTCTGTTTATTATATTAATTTTATAGTAAAAAATAAAGATGTTTTAAAATTGTTGCGTGCTCCAGGCACAGTATCAGGCACATCTGATACAGCATCCCTACCCCTTACAACATCCTCCCAGAAAGCTCCCCTTGTTATAGATGAGCAGGCGGAGGCTTAGAGAAGTGAAGAGACCTGACCAAGGACACACGGCTTATCAATGATGATGCCAGGATCTGACCCCAGTATTGGAATCTGGAGTACAGAGCAATTCTGCTTGGCAAGTCAGGGAAAGCTTCACGGCAGAGGTGATATTTGAGCTGAGCCTGGAAAGCTGAGTACGACTTCTCTTGGTCAGAGTTCTCCAGGGGTGATTTGGACCCCAGGGGACATCTGATGAAGTCTGGAGCCATTTTTAGTTGTTACAACTTGGAGGGTGAGTGCTACTGGTATCTAGTGGGTAGAGGCCAGGGATGCTGCTAAACAATGCACAGCACTGCCTCGCACAACAAAGACTTATCTGGCCCCAAATGTCAACAGTGCAGAGTACGATGTAACACACTAGAGCTGTCATTTATTGAGTGCTTACTAGGTGCCAAGTGCAGTACTAAGCTCTTGCAAGTGTCATCTTATTTAATCCTAACCCCATTGCTCCCATGCTGTCAGTGAGGGACCTGAGGCTCAGAGACGGTAAGTAACTTTCCTGGGGTCACACAGGCAGAAAACAGTAGGGGCCAGGATGGGAGCTGCCCAAGTACAAAGTCAGAGCTCTTAACCTTTCTGCTCTGCTGCCTCCAGGATTTACAATAAATGTAAAAGTTCCAGGTCAACTGCTAGGCGGGGTGTGAGGAGACTGGCTGAGCCCAGGCCCAGCATCGTCTGGCCTCGAGGCCTTGGGCAAGGTCCCCTCCCTCCTCCTCTCATTTCCCCATCTGTCAAGTGAAGGTTGCACCAGATGATCTCCAAGGCCCTGCCAGCTCTGCGTCTGTTATTCTCCAGGAGAGGGGCCCGAGTCCAGGCTCCCAGAGCCCTGGGGATGAACCGCCAGCTGCCAGGAGAGGAGGGGGTGTGACGGGCAGGCTCAGCCTCATTCCCAGTGCATAAGGAGCTAATGAGCCCTGCTTCCTCACCAGGAGGGAGAGGCAGGTGGGGGTGGGGAGTGGCTCGAACATCACCCAGGTGCTCACTTCTCCAATGGGGAGGGATGTTTCTCTGCCACCTTCTTGCCAAGCCCAAAGGAGGCAGCAAAGCAAGGCCTCCTTCTCAGGCAAGAGAGGCGAGTCTGGGCACTCACCCAGCTGGGCACATGAGTTCTCACAGGTAGAAGAAGCAAGGATGGGAGTGCATGCTGACCCAGCCCCATCCATGTGCCGGGCATCTCAAATAGCAGGTTCATCTCAGGTCAGCCTCAGGAAAATCCTGGTAGGAAAGAATCATCCTGACCCCAGTTTACAGATGAGAGCATCATGGCTTACCTGAAGTGACTTGCTGAGTTACACAGGCAGTGCTGAAGGAAGGTTTGGAACCCAAGTGGGTCTGACCCCAGGACAGTACACTAGAGGGTAAGTGAGTAGCAGTCCTGTTTTTCTTTTCACCCAAGAAGGAAAGTTTTTTTTTGGTGAGGAAGATTGGCCTAACATCTGTGCCAATCCTCCTTTATTTTGTATGTGGGACGCCGCCACAGCATGGCCTGATGAGCAGTGTGTAGGTCCAGACCCGGGATCCAAACCCACGAACCCTGGGCCACCAAAGGGTAGCATGTGAACTTAACCCCTATACCACTGGGCTGGCCCCATGAAAGTGTTTTTAATAACGTTTGGAGAAAATGTACGTTCAATTTCTCCTGCATTCCCCAGGACACAGAATAGACTGCAAAAACCCGAAACAATAATTCTGATTTCTTGGTTTGCAGTCAGAGGAAGCAAGGCTCGGTCGGCAGAGGCCTCTCCAGCTAGAAAGTCAGACAGAGAGAGGAGCGGGTGAGCGGCAGGGGAGGGGTCTGGCCAGGTCAGGCTGTGCTCTCTAGCCTGGCCCTCTCATTGTGTGGCTTTGGGTAAGTCCCATCACCTCTCCAGATCTCAGTCTCCACATCTATAGAATGAAGAGGCTGGCCAGATGGTTTCAGACAGAGTCCCTTCAAACTCTCACAACCTGCACCCAGTCCTCAAAGATTCTTTTCTCCTCCCTGTTTATGAGACTTCACAGATGGGGAGATGGGGACACCAGTGCCTGACACACAAGGGGCTCTGGGGGTGGAGGACCAACGCCAGCCTTGTGCAAGCTCGCAGAGCCCCCAGCCCTTGCTCACCCTCTGAGGGGGCCTCCATCCTCAGACAGCCAGAACAGGAAGGGAGTCAGTCATGATTTGGGGATGAAAGGGACAGGGAGGGGTGCTGGGGAACATGGGGCCATTTCTCCTGGGGCCAGTTCTCATCTCCATGGGCATCTGCTAGGTGCAGGCCGACTCACAGAGATTCACATATGGGGGGACCCCCTACAACACGGGAGAAAGGAGTTACTTAGCTCCTGCTTAAGCGTCTTGAGGGTCAGAATGCTCATTAGTTCCCAAGTTAGCCCACTGCATTTTCATAAAACGTTTGAGTCAAAAACCTTCTGCTTCCAACAACCTAAGTGTCCATCAACAGATGAATGAATAAAGGTGTGGTAGATATCAATGGAATACTACTCAGCCATAAAAAAGGATGAAATCTTGCCATTTGAGACCACATGGATGGACCTTGAGGATATTATGCTAAGTGAAATAAGTCAGACGGAGAAAGACAGATACCATATGCTTTCGTTCATGTGTGGAAGATAAATAAACACATAGATACGGAGAACAGATTGGTGGTTACCAGAGGGTAAGGGGGAGGGAGAAATGGGTCAAGAGTGTCAATTGTATGGTGATGGATGGTAACCAGATTTTGGTGTTGAGCATGCTGTAGCATACACAGAAGTTGAATTAAAATGTTCTCCACATGAAACATGTAATGTTATAGATCGATTTTAGCTCAATTAAAAAAAAAAACAACTTCGCTTCCAAAGGTTCCACAGTCTGGGGCCAGCTCAGGCCAGGGTCGGTCACTCATTTATTCATTCATTCCGCCTTCACTGGTGTATACTGTGGGCCAGCCCTTGTGCCAGGTTTGGGTCATAGATATGACGAATAAGAGGCTGTCCCTGTTCTGGGGAACTGTGTGCGAGACTGGGATTCCAAGGCCAGAGATGTGGGGCTGCTGGATTTAAATGGTTTAGCTTGAGAAAAAGATTCCAGGCTCAAGTAAGCTTGGGAACCATTTCATTAAATACAGTAAAATGGGTTTCTTTGCTATAAGATTTCTCCAAGCCTTTAATATGCAAATGCACACTTTGAATCCTCAGGGGATGGGGGGGATAGAGAATATAGTATATTTCCCAATATAGTTGATCTTGGAACACTTCTTTTTAAAACGTTACACTTATTAACAGTGAGCATTTGGGAAAATGCGGCTCTCATGCTATTTTTTTGGCCAGTGGAGCTTGGGGAAGGCTTACACAGAGAGGACGTTTGCACAGGGCCTTGAGGGTTGAGTAGGAGTTGGTCAGTGAAGATGGGAAGGTTTAAGGGAGACCAATTATAGTCCTAGGCTGACTATGCTCATGTTATCCTGCGTATACTGTTCCACTTAGTCCTCAAAGTTCCTGATGTGGGTGCCAAGGAGGTCATCAAAAGCCCCTGGAGACTCCTAGAGGTCCACCTGCTCCCTTTTCTCCAATCACCTCATTTCAGGGCTTTATTCTCCAAATCTCGAATCTTCAAGTCCTGGCCCCATTCTCAACATAGCCTCTACTCTGGTTTAAACCCAAAATGGTTCTTACAGTCTCTGGACTTGATCCCAGCCTTCACCCTTCACACACCCTAGCCTAGCCATTGGCTCCCAAATCCACCCTCTCGGTAGTTTGCTGACCCTAACTTAGACCCTCTGTTAGATTTAATCCTACCCACCCAGTACAATCTGGCCCTGGTACTGCCCCCAGGGTCCTGATGCACCTGATGGAGCCCCGCCACATGGTTGCCACCAAGCCTGCGAGAGCTGAGCTATTCCATATAGTTCTGACCCATCCTTGGATGGAGGCCCCCCCGCGCTGCCTAGCCCTGGCTGTGTTCCCGTCCCCATCTCTGTCTTTGTCCCTAATTCTGCCCTGAACCATTCTCATGCGGGCCCTGTCTACAGGTCCAGCCCTCAAGACCCCCTGACAGTGGCCCGGCCCTTGCCCAACTCTGATTCAGCCCCGTCCCCAACCCTGCCCCAGCCTGGTAACTGGTCCAGCTCTGATCTCTGTTGTCCACCCCACCGGTGACCTATCCCAATCGCGGACCCACCCCCACTTCAGGTCTACCTCGGACCCCGCCCAGTACAGACCGCCTAAGGCCCCGCCCCAACACCCCGCCCCCTTGCCGCGATCCCGCCCTGTCCCCGCCCCGTACTAATCTGATAGGGCCCTGACCCTGCCGGCGGCCCCGCCCCGAGACACTTCTGACTGGGCCCTGCCCACGGTCCAGCCCTGACCCCGCCCCTGGCCCGGCTCCGCCCCCTCCCCAGGCCGGCCGGGCCGCGCACCTGCAACTCCTCGAAGGCATCGTCGATGCCGGTGACCTGGTGCTGCTCGTGCAGCGCGGGCTCGTCGCAGAAGAAGCAGAGCAGCGCGCGGTCCGTGAGGCAGAAGAGCTTGACCTTGTCGTGCGCCTGGCAGGGTCGCGCGGCGCGGCGCGCGTTGAGGATGGCGTCCAGCGGGAAGGCGCTGTAGCGCTCCACGATGTTGGCCAGCTTGAGGCTGGGCGCGAGCGCGGGCTCGGGGAACGTGCGCCGGCACTCGGGGCAGTCGCGGGCGCCCTGCGCCTCCTGCCGCACCCAGTGCTCGGTGATGCAGCGGCGGCAGAAGTAGTGCTCGCAGCCCAGGCTCACCGGGTCCTGGTAGATGCTCAGACAGATGGAGCAGAGCAGCTCGTCCTTGAGGCTACATGCCATGGCGCCGGGGGCGGCGGGGAGGGGGGCCGGAGATGCAGGGGGGCGGCTGAGGGAGCGCGGCGCTGTCGGGGGCAGCACCGAGGGACGGGTGCGGGGAGCAGGCCTGGAGAGGCAGGAGTAGGAGCTACAGGAGAAGGAAGGGGGCTGTCCGGGAAGGGGGGCTGTTGAGCTGCCCTCGAAAAACTCGAAGAAGGGGTTCAGGGTAGAGACTACCCGGGATGCGAGCCCGGGAGGGTGGCTCAAGGTAGTGGGTGATCCGGAGCGATGGGTGCTGGAGGGAGGGGGCCGTGGGTGTCTGAGGGAAGGGTCTCCCGGCAAGGAGGTTCTAGAGGAAGGGACAGCCCGAAGGAATGGGTGGCTGGAGAAAGGGATCCAGGAGGGGGGCGGAGGCCTTGGGGGGGGTTGAACTCCCGGGATGGGTGCGGTGGGGGGAGGGGGAGAAGATAGGGATGGGGAAATCTAGGAGAGAGGGAAGCCTGGCGGAGCCGCACCGCGGCTGTGCCTGGCAGAGGAGCGGAGGGGTGCGAGCACGCTCAGCTGCCCGCTCCCGGCCCCAAGACCTTTCCCGGCGCGGCCCCTTACCCTCGCCAGCTCAGCGGCCACTGCTCCGGTCCGAGCGCAGCCTCTCAACCCGGAACCAGCCGAGCCCGAGCGGCCGGCGGCCGTGGTTCCCTCCCAGCCCCCGTGGGCGGGGCCCAAGCGACTCCGCCCCCGCGGCGGGCGGGGGGAGGAGGGGCGGGGCCTGGGCTCCAGCCTGAGGACCCCTTCCCCGCCCCCACTATTCTCCTTCTCCCAGGGGAGCGAAACCCAGCTGTTCCTTCAGGGTCTGCTCATGGAACAACATCTAGGTCTTAGGGTCCCTGCGGCGGGTGGGGGGCGGGGACAGCTAATTTAAGAGGATAACAGTAAACGTGGGGCATCTTTCTGGATCATCAACTTGAATACAGGGGAAAAATATTTTGTGTTAAAACAAACAAGGATATGTCGTGTAATCTGCATAGAATAAAACTTTTGCATAAAATATAAAGATAAAACTCGAGAAGTGCCCTGCTGGCTTAGAGCAAGTTCAAGACCCTCACACTCCTAATTCCTCTTCACTTTCTTAAGGAGAGCTTGGGGGAGAAGTTTGGACAGTCCTGGCCCTGGCTAACGTCTGACTCAAGGAGTTCTCTTCATTCAGCAAACATTTCTGGAGTGCTATATTTGGGGGGCGGGGGGGCGGGGGGGGGCTGGAGCAGGAGAGAGGAAGAAAGAGTAATAGGAGACCTTGTCTCGTGTGCCAGATGGAGAGGGCGTAGGGATTTCTAGGTGGAGGGGACAGCATGTGCAGAAGCATGGAGGCGTGAAAGGGGAGGGCACATTTGGGGGAAGCGCAAGCAGTTCTGTACTATTGGAGGTGGGGTAGGGAAGGGGCTTGAGTGTTGAAGGTCATGGTAAAGGATTTTCTGAAGGCATTAGAGTTTCAAGCAGGGGCATCATCTGGTCTGATGTGGGTTTCAGGAAGTCAGGGAGATGCTCGTTATACCATCAACAAGGTGAAGGCAGGGACCCTTTCCGATGTGTCTGCATATGCACAGTGCTTGGCACACAGAAAAAGTATGTAGCTGAATGACAGCAGCAAAGATGTGGATTGCAGGAAGAAATACTGGGCACCAGTTAGGTCACTGTTGTCATAGTGCCTGCGGGAGGTGAGACCTGAACTGGGGCCATGACTGGATCAGGAGAGAAGGCCAGGGTATTGAAAGTATAGACACTATGAAATTTTGTAATGAATTGGACATGGGGATGAGAGAGAAGGAGGCGTTGAGGGTGGCTCCCCAGTTTCTGGTTCCTCCAGAAATGTCTTCACTGGAGTTAAACTTTACTGAGGTACAATTGAAGAGACATTTCAAAGTTTACTCCTCTCCTGGTTACGTGTCCTCCATCACATCATCACCTGGTCCTGTGTCCCCATCATTGCCAGAAACAAGTTGGTTGCTTGTGCGACAGCCATTCCTCGAGTGTTCGTTGCAGTCAGAGCTCTGATTTGTTCAGGTGCCTCCTTCCCCATGTAACCAAGGGAAGGCTGACCCCAGCCCACTCCAGGAGTAAGTCCCATTTGGTTCAAGTCCATTGTGGTGGTTGTATTCCTCTTGCCAGTTGTGGTTTGGGCTTGGACGTGTGACACAGCTCTGATCTGAGAAACCAGAGGGGAAGGCTATGGTAGAAAGGGGCTTCTGGAAAGGTTCTCTTCACTTTCAGAAACAATCTGCCCCTTTTGCTGGGTGTGGATGTGTTTGGTGGCGATGCTTGGAATTGCAGCCACCTTGCTCCCAGTCTAAGGATGCAGCCAACAGGTGACTGAGGCCATGAGTGACCTAGAGAAGAGGAGCTGGTGCTCTGACGCAGAGCTTACACTTTTGGATATGTGAGATGGTCCATCTTATTGCTTAAGCAAGTTTAATAGTGGTGTGCTGTCACTTGGCAACCAAAAGAATCCCAAGTGATACACTGATATGTACTCCCAATATTTTTTTTTTTTTTTTTGTAAAGAGGGCAGGGTCTAAATTATTGAAGTATTTGAAGTGAAATGAAAAAAGTCTCAGTGATGGATGAAACAGTGGGCTTCATTTATCCAGCATGTAATCCATCCTCTTCTGTAGCAACATAGTAGCTGGAGAAATGGCTGGTCAGCTAGAGACACACTTTCCAGCTGCTCTTGAACGGAGTGTGGCTTTATGATTGAGTCCTTTCCAATAGAATATAAATAGAAACACTCATTAAGGCATTTACTGATATTGACTCTGGGCAGGCCTTGTGCAAGGGGTGGAATAAACTATGGCCCCTTAATCTCAAGGAGCTTGCGGTCTAGGGGGAAAACAATGAGAAATTTTTATCAAGCCCAGCAGGGTTTACTGAGCACTCTCACAGAAGTGTTTGGATCTGAGTCTCATAGCAATCTTAACCAGTACATATTATTTTCCCCATTTTATAGAGGAAAATACTGAGGCTCAGAGAAAGGAGATGTGGGGGAAATTGCTAAGTGTCCGCCAAAATCCCTTCTCCTCTTCGTCTATAGAAGCACAGTACCTGGAGAAATGGCTGGTCCGCTAGAGACTGCGCTTTCCAGCTGCTCTTGCAGCCGAGTGTGGCTTTGCGACTAAGTCCTTTCCGATGGAATGTAAATAGAAATAGTCCTTAAGGCAATGGGCTTTCGCTCTTCCGTGCTCCATTTCCTCTTCCCTCGAGTTGGAACACAGATGTGCCAGGGACCCGGCTTCAGTAATGCTTCAAAGGGACTGACGGAGCAAAGATAAGGAAGGAACCTGGGTCCTGAATGACTACATGGAGTGGAGCCACCCCCCAGTGTGGACCAGAGAGTGAGAAATAAACTTCCGCTTCTATGAGCCGTTGTATTGCAGCAGTTTGGCCTTCTTCATGCTGTTCTATAGCTGTTTTAGCACAGGCTCTGGTACTATTTTATGCTGTTGTCTAAATCCTTTCGGTAGCTAAGTTCCTCTTCATGTCCAGCTCCAGTCTCTTCCAAAGTGGATAGAACATGGTTTTCTTCGGCTGAAAGTCACAGTCTCTTTGACTTTTCACAATACTTTCCAGCTTTTAGTCTTTTCACCCTTGGAGCTGTTCTTCTCTTGACCTTTCTCCATCTCAGTTGACATGCAGAACACTACACTCACTCAAACTGTTGGTTATAATTAAGTTCGGCAAGTCGTTGCTCTTTCTGGATCTCTGCTTCCCCAGCCTGATATGGTTGAGGGGTCTGACCTAAGACTTGCAGATCCTGACTGCAGTGTATGCCACCTGCTTCCATTCATACTCTGAAAAATAACATCAGGAGTTTTTTTTTTGAAAGCTGCCCAAGAGATATTGTTGAGTGGAAAAACAAAACAAAGGAAGACCCAAACAGACACACAGACATGGACATGCACAGTCATACAATGCTCTCAGGCGTTATTTATACAGCAAAAACCTGTAGAATTCTGTAACAATTCTAACCATGTTTCTCTATGGGCTAGGATGGGGGGCGGGTTTTAACTTTTATATTGTATAGCTCTATTTGTTTATTATTTTATAATCAGAAAAAATAAAGATTTAGTTGATCTTCATTATTCATGGATTCCATATTTGCAAATTCACCTAATCCTAAAATTTGTAACTCCCAAATCACAATTTGAGGCACTTTCATGTCATTTGTGGACACACACATGCACAGAGTGGTGAAAATTTAGAGTCCCATGTTCCCAGCTGAGGTCGAACAAGGGGTCACTCTGCCTTCTTGTGTCAGCTCTCATACTGTAAACAAGTATCTTCTTCATGGGCTATTCAGTGCCATGATTTTCTTATTTTTGTTGGTGGATTTCGCTATTTTAAAATGGCTCCCAAGCGTAGCACTGAAGTGCTGTCTCGTGTTTCTAAGCGCAGGAAGGCTCTGACGTGCCTTAGGGAGAAAATATGGGTGTTTGATGAGCTTCGTTAAGGCATGAGTTATAGTGCTATTGGCTGTGAGTTCAATGTTAATGAATCAACAGTAAATATTAAATAAAGTGTCTTTAAACAGAAACACACATAAGACAAGGTTATGTATTGCTCCGTTGATGAAAATGTGGCCAGAGGCTCACAGGAACCGAACGCTGTGAACCGAACGCTGTATTTGCTTAAGGAGCAATGGTTCTGTATTCACCATTTCAGTCCTTGTAGGAACTTTATAGAACATAACCACTGTGAATAATGGAGTCAACTGTATTTAAAATTGTTATATGTAACAGCATCCACCAATACAAGGTACCAACGCCACGTCCCTTTCCATCCAGGTAACATTGGCTCAGGCCCGCTCATAGAGGGATGGGCAAGAGAATGAACAAGGAGCCACTCCCATGTGCCAGGCACTGGGCTAGGTGCTTCATGTCCATTGTTTTATTTAATCCTCACAAGAGCCTTCCAGACTTGACGTTTTTCTCCCCGTTTGCAGATGAGGAAACGGTGGCTCAGAGGGGTGAAATGGCCTGACTAAAGCCAGAGCAACTTAGTGGCACAGGCTCCTCCACCCCAACCTGCTGGAGAAGCTTCCCCTGTTGTGCAGCCTGGAGCTGGGCCAAATCTGGGCCCTCAGCTCCATCTAATGGTCTTTATAATCAGTCTAGCTAGGCCCCTTCTGTCAGTCCCTTCCCCACCATTCCAAACCTTTGCCTGTCTGCTCAAGCCCCGTAGACACACCCCTGCTCCTTTCTCAGTGGGGGATCTTGCCTCCCACTCCGTGAAGAAAGCAGAGCCCTTGAAGGGGGGTGGGCTTCTCAATTTCCAGTTTCCTTCAACCTGTCAACTTATCTATAGAAACGCCTCAAGTCCTTTGTGAAATGAGGCTGAATGTAAAATAAACAAATGGATGAAGTCAATGCGTTTATAACTTTATTCATCCTCACCGCCTTTCCTCTAGTCTGAGAATGAAGTGTGCCTTCTGTTCAAAACCAGTTCCTCCACCTGGGCCCTGGTCTGATCCCTGCAGACCTCCTCTGGGACAGACTCCTTCAATCATCCCCTGCTGCACTCTGTGTTTTTGTCTCCTTCCGTGGCCTTGGCTACCTCCTTCAGCCTATAAATGTGCTCAAGTTTCTCTTAAAACAGCACTTTCTGCAGTTCTTCCACCTTTAGC